TCATCGACCAAAAATCGATCTAATTTTAGAGGGCTAGTTGATGTAATGAAATAGCGCAACTTTTAAAACCGAGAAGCCTTGGGCAGGAGTTTACAATTAGCAACAAAATCTCGATCGTTATTTCCTGGTGAATAAAGGCGATCTCATCATTACAAGTATAAATTCGACTAAACGTGTATTTTACGGCCGTGAATTATTTCAGGTAGGCTATCATTTGTAAATTAACATGACATAATTCGTTTATATTAAAAAAAAATTATAAAAAATTCTGACCAAGGCGTTTAACAAAATACTATCAAACGATTTCGACTGAATTTAGTCATCATCAAAGTAAAAAGTACAATGTTAATGTATTACGAAAGATGACCCCCAAGGGAAGCAGTGGTTCATAAGGCATATCTTTGATGTTGCTCACTGTTTGAGTGAAAATCCTACACTTTTGGACTGCTATGAAGACGAGTGAAAACCACGAACAGCAGAAATTGTACTTTCGGGGTCTGCTGTTTTACTGAGGTTCCAATGGAAATCATTGAATGAAACTATTTTGGTAGGCCAATGTCATTTTTCGTACTTAAAATTCCTGTCTTGACTAACAGGCAAAATTACACACTTTTCTAGGCGTCGCCCAGGCCCGTAAACACTTTTTAACTTTCAAACGAACGGCAACAGACAGTGAATCTTCATTACATTCCACTTATATTCACGCTGCCACCAAAGATGATGTTCACTCCACCACGATAGAATGCAAATGATTCATTTTTTTGTGTTACGATTATGATGCAACACAATCAGAGTGTACACACGGCTTGACGTCATTGACGTCAACAGACATTGAATCTTCATTACATTCAACTTATATTCACGCTACCTCGTTGCCACCAAAGAAGATGTTCACTCCACCACGATAGAATGCGAATGATTCTTTTTTTTGTGTTACGATTATGATGCAACACAATCAGAGTGTACACACGGCCTGACGTCATCGTAGTGGGTCCACCAAAGTAGATCAGATTAAGAAACATAAGCAGGCTCTGTTTTCTCAGTCAGATGTATTTTGTCATTTAACGCATGAAAAGAAATATAAACGTCCGAAGATTAAAAAATGTTTGTGGTCTACATCTGCACAAGTGCGCACAAAAAAACTCACCCAATCCCTCCAGTCCATCCACTATCCTGAGGGCGAAGTTCGTTAATGTTCATCATTTCGTCTCCATGCACATATCCATTAAGCCTTCAAAAGTATTCATGCTGCAAAGTAAACTTGGCTTTGTCTCCATGACTATCTATCATGTTTGATAGTCATATCATGTTTGACATAAGCAGCCTATCGCTTTTGCGTGTTTATTTTTGATTTGACACATCGAAGAAGCCTGCTGTTTTGCAGCCTTTGTCATAGCTGTGTTCCGCAGCAGTTATGTACGAAAAGGCTTGTACAATTGCGCTGAAAAAATAATTTCGAAAAAACTGAATGGACCATCAGATACTTTACTCCGTAAATGGCGGCATTCTGGTATGCCAGAAGGTCAAAGCCGATTTGTGGTAAGTGTTAAATTTATGTAAGTATGAATAGTAAGTGCTGTCCTACACGTATTCCCTTGAACGAGACTCCTTAGCCGGAGGACAGAACTCTTGCAGAAACGAAATACAAATTTAAACACGGAATAAAAAGTATGTGTCCATTTTGAAATGCAAAAGAAATTTAAGAACAGAAGGAATCGCTTGATAATAAAACTCACGGTTTTGCAGTTAAATGTGAAAAATATAAATTTACATGAATCAAACAATTCGTGTATTTATTAAATATTCGTGGCACTTGCGTGGGGTAACTTCGAGAGAAGTGACAAATCGGGCTTCGTATAATCTCTTTTAAATTTTAATACTGTCGTCGTTTGTTGGCTGACAAACGGGAAAAAAAATGTTTCTCGGAGGACTTATTGTGGTGTCCCCTTCGCTAAAACTTTCAATGATCGTACCGCCAAGAAGTAGTTATGTGGGTTTTCTGTGGTCGACAACTGTCATGCATGTCATCATGAGGAACATTTTTAAAGAAAATCACAATTACCTTTTATTTTCACGATGTAACTGAAATTTACTCCATCCCCATGATTAGCGGTGGGTTTTCTATTTTTTGTAAAATTCTAATAGACCTTAAATCCACTTCCGGTTTTTCGGGCGCATAGCGAAAGTGTATGCGGTAGAGACGCAAGTATGAGCGGCGACACGAAACAAAAGAACCACCCGCCGCTCAGCCTTTGTATGTACTTTTTGTGAGCGAATGGCGCTCTGACGCAGGGTTTACGCTCAAAACGTCAGCTTTAGAAGCTCTTTAAAGTGGCAAATTTACAAAGTTATACTTCAGACATACTGTGAAAACTCTGGTTGGTCGAGAGCATACATAGGGAAATGCCTGTTGCGATCGTAACTACATGGTAGCGTAATTTCACTTTCAGAATTTCCCAGTGAAAACAGCAGTTGCCTTTCTCTTTCTTGGTTTCTCTATGTTTCTCTACCTTAATGATGTCGAGCTTGAGGAGCGAAGAGTGTATTCTGTTCGATAGTATCATTCGTTTAAACGTTATTTAGCTACAATGTTGAATTGATTTTATGTTTTCGGAACATCTAGGGTGCTGTTCGTGGAAAAACATTTTATTTATCTAACTTAGAGTATTCTTCGGGGGCAAGAAGGATTTGAATTGATTTTGAATTGATTTGAAACGTGAATCTCATGGGTTGGTTGAAGCAGATAAGTGCTGATCCAGGAATAAAAGCTAAACGCAGTTTAAATTTTTGTAGTTTACAAGTGTTTGTTCGTGTACGCGAGCATCATTTGCATTTATATCACTTACGAATAATTTCCGCCCCGCTGAGTTTTAGAAGTGCACAAAAAATGAGCCATTTTTGTCCCGAAAATCGTTTGTCTGATAATGCCAAGAAACTCGAAATTGACTATGAATCGAAAGCTACTATTAAATCGGCAAAATAAGAAATTTCGTTGAGCGACTCTGACTATGACTAACAGCTGCTTTTAAAGGAGTGAACTCAAACACGTAGATTATTGCATCCTCGTATAATCGTTATTCATGAGCTCTCCTAGGTTTTCTAGAGTCGCAAGTGTGTCCACTTATGTCCAGGAATGCACGCAGTAAAGAAAATTGCAGATTTGACAAAACGTCTTAAAACCAAGTGAATGTACATGGATTTAACGATTTTGGCGAATTTAGTTCAAGCTCCTCAAAGCGAAATCAGCTCGGTGGATTTTGCATGCATTTCTGGAAATAATTAATGATATGATACTCGCTCAAAGCAAATCGTCACAAATCCGTTTCGTTTAAAATTATTTTAACCACTATCCGGAGTCAATTGAACAAAAAGCACACATTGGACTGCATTCCATAATGCGCCTAAGAAGTGAAGAGAAAATTTTTCATGACCGTGCTTGATTATTTACCTGTCTTTGGATATCCTTCGGAGGTTTTAAGATTTTTTCTTTTTCACGAATAGGTACTGCAAGAAGATAATTTGGTTTGATCACTTGAGTTGATAATATGGATTGGCTACCGTAAATAGTGTTTAAAGCTGACGTTTCGAGCGTTTCAGAGCGAAGGACAGAAGACTGGAGTACTGGTAACCGAGTATGGAGAGTGTACTATTCTCCAGTGGCATGAATATGTGAGGAGAACACCACGATAGACATAGCTCGGATTGCACTGATGACTTATCAGTAAGACTAGACACTGCTAACCACCTCCAACAATCTTTGGATCTGTTTCAACGAGGTAATTTGGAAATGGCTGAGAGAAGCCTTCAAATTGCTCACAGGAATCTCCTAGAGATAAAACAAGATAGCTTTTTTAACATCTTCAAAGACCGCTCCTTCCACTGTGATGTGTGTAACGTCTGTCTGGACAAACGGCTGGAAGGAAGACATTCTTCCCGAGAAAATTCAGGACATGACGAGCGCTGCCTCTGTTTGGAGGTAATGACTTACTCCTCGCATTAAAATTGCGTTGTTGCAAAAATTTCCACCATTACTCGCATTTCTTTTGAAGACGATTCCACTGAGGCAAATGAGCTAAAAAACCATTGGCAGTAGATAGTTTCGTGCGCGTATATATAAAGGTTTCTCTCCCTTTTTAAAGTTTGCTCTTGCCCTTAAGTTAACATCAGTATTCTTCATTCCCACATAAGCAGGCCAATAACTCTCTGTCTTGTTCGTTTCATTTTGTTTCTTGTATCTTGGATTTCGTCATCAGTTGATTTGTGTAGTTAATATTTTGTGTTCTCATGATGTCTCTTCGTATTATTTCTACACTGGAAAGTTTTCCTTTCTGCTAGTGTAGGAGTATGGATTTCAAAAGAATGTTTAAAGACACTCGTGATATTGGTTGCACACAAAATCGGCTCTGCAAAAGGAAATATTGGCCAATAGTTTTTTCCTACTTGTTTTGATTATATCCTTATTATCGACAATGAGAGTGAAATCTGGTAAATGCAATGTTTGAGCGACAAATCTTAAAAAAAATAATTGTAAAAGTTAATTTGATAGATAATGCTTGAAATTCCTTTTGGTTAATGGAAGTTTGGAACATTTATTTTCAGGGCGCGTCCAGCGGTTGTCAAATCCTGCCATGCTCACAAAGGTTCGTAGAGAGTATGCCATTGCAATGATATGGAATGGCGTGTAAGTATGCTCACAATGACATGATTTTTATGAATTAACTAATATAACGAAGAACGCTTTAGTGCTCCCTATCCATTTTCCCGGACGTAGTTAAAATTCTGAATCGAGATTTGTATGTGGAGTTGTGTCGGAGGCTGTAGGGGGCAGTTCCTGACTCTCGACTACTGGATGCGAGAACCGGAGAGTCGAAATCAATCGTTCGACTGCAAATGGTGGAACTTGATTCACGAGTGCACTGAATGTACCCGGAAAACTATATCCATTTACTTGTAATTTTTCCCACTCTGCTTTCTGTTTGTACAGCATTGGTTTCCCCAAGTTGTAAATAATTGTATTATGGAAAAAGAAGCTTACGGTTTGACAGACTTCTTCGTGGCCAGACACACTACAGACCCTACCTTACGCTTGGAACTGCTTTCTCGTAATCAAAATGGCTTCCGCCATGGCCAAGACTCAGGGATGGGGACAGAGGTAAGAAAGACTGACTACAGCATAGCTTTAAGATGAGGAGAGGATTTAATATCGCTTTTCTGGGACTAAGTGGTTGGTCTGCTGGGGCAGGAAGGGCGTCGTAAAAGTCATTCTCGATCACCAAAATTGATGCTGAGATCGCAGCTTTCATTTACTTCGACATAAAAATTGGAGAAAACTGACACCAAATGATCTAGAAAAATTTTATATCACAAGCTTACTCAAAATTGATTTCCTGTATGACAAAAAGATACTTCAGAGAATTACAAAATAAACTCAGGAAGATCGTTGTTGTTTTCGTTGTCACGGCTGACCCATATAGGTGTTTTGCGATATCTTTACAGATAGAATATTACCAAATTTTTGTACTGAGAAAAATAAACAGCTCAGCTTTATGAGGCATCAAATCGAGCATTCTAAGCGAGTAAAATGATTCTATATCATATATTAAAGTTCACACTTTAATATATGATATGGCCCGCCTTAGGAGCTAGCCATACAATAAACATTTTTACAAATTGTCGTATTTTGTTTCATTTATCCAGATTGCCATGTCAAACAACACTGCTACCGACACGTTTTTAGATGGTTCCCCTTCAGCCGAAGTGTTCCCAAGGAATTCGCAAGCTTCAACTTTGCTTGTATTGTCTGTACTGAACATAAGACCTTGGAATGTTGAGTCTTTAGAGTCCACGAACAACAGTCCTCTTGCACTGGAGCAAGGAGTAGCCAGAGCAATGGTCCAAATAAACAGGGGAAGACGGGAAAGAGAACAGCGTGAACTGGAGCGGGAACAACTTCAAACGAACCAGGACAGAGAATCGCAAGAGGCAGAAGAATAAGGCAACAGAAGAAGAGATTTTCTAAGTAGATGAAACCTTGTTTCATATAACTTTCCTATTGTTTTAGAAATGTTTGTACAAATGTAGTCAATATGTATTTTCCACGCTAGATGCTGCCTGTAAACACATTAAAATCCTCAATAATTGTGTTACCAATTTTGAGAAGGCGTGTCGCTAGAAATTTTTGTTTAGTTCTAAAAATCATGATCTTTGTTTTTTTCACTTTAATGAACAACTTGTTAGCTTTAATCCAAGTCGCAACATGACGAATTTCATCGTTGAGGTAATCCATAAGAATTTTAAGATTTCGGTTTTGGTAAAAAATTCTGGTATCTTTGGCTAAAAAAAGTTAATCTATTAAGTTTATCTCTTATGCAAAACCAGTTGTTAGACAAGATCATATTTTCAGTAAGGTAACTTGAGATACAATTATATACAATAATTTCAAAATTATTCGAAAAAGCAGGAAGTATTGAAACTGGTCTGTAATTTTTAATCAAGGATGGGTCGTCCGCCGTTAATACAGAGACCTTTTTAGTAATTTTAAGTATAAGTTGTGGCTTTTCCGCACTATCAGTTTCATTTTCAAATTTGCATATTTACATCGACATCAATTCGTTCACCCCGGTAAAGTTTCGATGTGAACGCTATACGTCCTCTGAATTCGTTCACTTCGGCAAAGTTTCAATGTGAACGCGATACGTCCTCCCACTTCAACGATTAGAGGGCAAAAGATTTAGACACACGAAACATATTTCAAGCTAACGTAGGTGAGTTTGTCCGCGGTTAGTCGAATTTATTATGTTTGTTTACATTACATCTTAATTCTGATCGCATCGTATCTGGTCGAATTGTTCAATCACATGATTATTATAAGGGAGAGACCCGCTCGAAGCTTGACTTTCTGATATGTGGTACGAATATTTTCCTTCAGATCCCTGTACCCTATGTTTTCTTTCGTGATCGTTTCTTTTTCTTTTTTTTTTAACCGAAGAATCCCTTTATCTGTCTTCAATTCATGCGCTATCTTTGTTGTGCGCCCAACAAAAATGGTGCACAACGAAGGGATTATTCAGTTCCTAAAACATACATGAGGGTTTCTCACAGACAACTTCAATTGTAAACATTGCAACTTTCAAAGTTCGATGTTTCTGTCATCGTTTTTAGAAAAGTGCTGTATAAGTGCGTGGGAGGAATTTTCAAGACAAGTATTAGAAACTGTTGCTCTTGATTAACATGTTATCTCTTAATAACTGTCTGATTTTCAGTCTAGGGGACGAAAATAATTTTTTTCTATTCCTTTTGAAATAAATCTTTGTTTCGTAGGCTACAAATGTTCACAACATATTTGATTTCAACAAGGCACATAGCCTGATGTAAACACGGAAACTATTTTACATTTCTTCGATAGTTTTCATTTTATTTTTCGAAAGTAATGGTGGTTTGCTTGGTAGAAAAATTTCGATCAAGACAAAGCACTCGCCACACTTTTCAAGCTAGCGGCTGCAGCGAAACTAAAAAAGCATATCAAAGAATAATTTCATGACCATAAGGCGCTTCCAGCAGATATCGAATCTATTAGGTTTCAAGCGAAAATTTGCATGAATGTTGGTGGCGATTGTGCAGCCGACTCCTGAACTTTTAAAGGTTTCCCGCAAACATGACAATCTCGATCTTAAAGTGTGGACGAAGCGTATTTCTGCACCAAACGGAGGCTATTTTTAAAAAAAATATTGTAAAATATTTTTGCAAATTGCCGGTAAAAACTGTTAACGAACAGCTAACCATTCACTGAGTGGGATGTTCACTTTTCAGTGTTCTTTGGTACAATTTCATGAACAAATAAACATGTTCTCTCTTTTAATTAAGATACCACAAAACGCTCTCTCGTTTTAAATTGATTTTAAAGAAAGAGTTATTGTAAGGGGACCTAGATCCTGAAAATTAGGGAATATCACTTGTGGTATATCCTCGATTATGATCCATGCAATATTTTTGCTCGCACGACTGGTCTTAAGGCATCACGTTAACAAATATTCCCCAGCTAAGACAGGGGAATATCCGAGGATATCACCTAAGTTACACTGTCCAATTTTCAAATTTTACGTTCATTAGGATAATGCAAATGTTACATAAAATGAGAAATATTTGTTTGTTCATAGAGTAGTACCAGAGAACACCGATAAGAATACATCCCACGCAGAAAACAGTGAGCTGTTGGTAAAATTTGAAGGATAAGAAACATAATAGCCCCTATTCTACGCGAAAATGTGCTCGTATATTTTTCCTTGAACATTACCTGTTCCTCGAAGGTCACTTCTTTCCTTTTCATCAATTTATTTCGTTCTTTGAATTTTGAACGTTGTTGATAGAGAACGTTGATATCGATGAAAAATATCAGTAAATATAAAAAATTGAAAAAAAATATTAATTTCCCTTTTTTCTATTTAACATTTTATTTTCCCATTCCCCATTCCCCATTCCCATTCCTGCTGTTAGTGACATTCTAATCGTTTCGCAAAATAGACAAAAATTTGCCTGGTGCACCAGCGACCTAAATTCGCTCGCTGGGCGGTATTTTGACGAGCCCGAAGGGGGAGTGACAAAACAGACAACGATTTAAAATACTCAGCGATGCTACACACCAAAACGACTGATAAGTTATTTACTATACCATAGGCGGCCCAAGCTCCAGCTGTGAGATGATCATTTCGCGAAATAAGAGTCATGGCGAAATTGTAAGAGTTTGTATTGGAATATTTACAACCGCTCCTAGGGGTGAAAAAATCCATTCAAATTCTCAATGAATGAAAATAACTCACCTTACTTTTACAGTGCATTGCTTGTTATCTGACCGCTCACTATGTTGAAAAGAACCTATTTCTGTGAGTTATCTAATTCTAGGTTTACTACATAAGTGCTTCTCTCCATTCCTTAACCCTTTAACTCCCAAGATATCATTAGTAATTCTCCTCACTGTCTGCCATATAAATCTTCTGATGTTAGTTCGGAGCATTTGGTATTCGATCAACTAATAATTCCCTAATTGATATTTTTCTTTATTCTCATTACTTGTCTGCTTGATATTGTATTGATATTGTAAGGAGAAATTCTGTCTCGGTCACTCATGGGAGGTAAAGGGTTAATTCTGTAATGTTTAATGTATGATACATACATACATTTATAAATAATTTTTTCCAACAGGTTGTGCCAGCGTTACAGAATTTCTATGATAAGCGATTCCTTAATTTGACATCTATACATCTGTTGTTTTTAGATATTAGTACCACAAACACTAGCGTCGATGATCCCGTTATTAAATTGAAATCGGCTGAATAAACACGAGTTTATGACTACAAATTGCCTAAGTTAACTTCACAAGTCACTAGCACTATTCACTACTATAGGCTCATGTCAAACCACCTTGGATATCGCTGGCTCAAGGGAAGATATACTGTGCCTATTTTTGCAAGCGATTCAGCTCGTGAAGTAGTGCCAGGCTCTCAAGAACCTCTCACTCAATTTTAAAAGCACATTGTTAGTTTAAACTTCCATATCATGGCGCTAAAGACTCAGACTGGCATACCGCTACAAACTAAACTCGGACCCAGTCGCTGTTCTCTCATGGCGCACGTGGAAAGTGTGGGGTATGAAGGGAGAGAACAAGTCAGATATGTTACAGTCATATTTGTTTAATTTATCATCATTCCCACAACTCTCCACGCCCTCCGCTTGCCTTGCGGCCATAGTATTTACATCAGAATACGAAACCACTTCCTCCATATTTATGAGAATTAAACAGGAACCGCATCAACTATGGATGGCATCCAACAACTATGTCTCCGGTGACGGCTTGCTTTATGTCTTAAACGTTTATATATGCATACATAACACACTACCTTGGTTGAGACAGTAATCCTAGTCAACTAAGCTTTCCCAAAATCGATTCATGAATCATAAAAGGAAATAACATTTTATTAGTTACCTTATCCTAACGATGCGAGCTACTAAACTTTACGTCACTTCCTTTAAATTTCTGGAAGGGCAGTGGCTTCGAAGAAAATGATAGATTGTGTATTGATGATTATGAAGAAGGTCCCATGCACTGAATATGAGCGTGCAAATCGTGAGGATTAAAGTATTCATCACAAAATTATTTCCGATATGGTTCAGGAATTCATTTTATAAAATCTTACTTACCTAAAAAAAATCTTACTTACCTAAAATCTTACTTACCTAAAATTTAATTTAATCATAAGTGACTTTTATTTTGGGCTGCGAGTAAATGCCCGGCAGCCGGGCACGGTCTCAAATAGACTAAATGCCCGGTACTTAGAAATATTCACCAAAATGCCACTGAAAGGTTCCTTCAAACTTCGTGGCGATTCCAAAATTAATTTGTGTTTTCAGTGGATAAATTCTCAGGCAGTTTGATCAGAAGCGTAGAATGTCAGTGTCTACAACAGAACGATATTGTAGTAGGCACAAGCTCGGAGAATTTGTCCACTAAAAAAACAAATTAATTTTTGGAATCGCTTGACATTACTTAACAAACATCCGACACTCTTAAGATGTTTGAAGGAACCTTTTGGTGGAAATTGAGTGGAAATTTTTTATTGCCGGGCATTTAGTCTATTTGAGACCGTGCCCGGCTTCCAGGCATTTTGTCACTGCATTTCTTTTAAGGAAGTGTCGGGGGCCGGCGTGAAACGACCCAAGGTTCTTGTATTAAATTTATCGGGTATCGGATGCTACAGCACGGGCAAAATGGCTGCATAGTCTTATTCACAAGGCATCAATCAACAAATATGTGTCAGGCTTTTTAGATAAGATATCCGCATCGAAAGATGGAGTAGCTAAAACTATGCGAGGCGCGCTGCGCAAATATTTCATAAAAGCTGATTACATTGAAAAAGTTGGTCTTCCGCTCTGCAATACCTGCAAAAACTTCCGCGGGGCTTCCCCGTTTAAATATGAATGTCTAATTCACCGTGACGTCAACAGAAGTTATACAAAATGGTTTACCACCAAAATAGAACATTGCTACCTCTCGATCGAACAGTGCGAAGTAGCTCAGAGTAATTATATGTTTACAAAGAATATAGAAAATTTGTTTGTTTTGCTAGCTTCGCTTTCTACGTTGGTCGAGAAAATCGCAGGGCTAAAAGTTACATTACGACGAGAAATAGAAGAGCAGCTTAAAGTCTAATTTTATTACAGATTCACTCAATTAGATTACAAATAGACAATAAACTAAATTAAATTATCGCTACAGTAAAAAAACGTTGTGG